TGAAGGCGCAGCCAAAATTTGAAGGTTATGGTCCATGCCATCGTAATTAACCGTCTTTGGGTTGTCTCCAGGCACATAGCTGCATATGGTACGCAAGCTGGTAGCCCCAAGATTTTCTTCAGGAACTTAGATTGAACACGTTCTACAGCTTCATTACAAGCTGAGACCCAAATTGGGATACCATAAAGCAGTTTGGCGGGTATTTTATGGTTAAATACTTTAAGAGCAGTGGGAATATATTGATGTCCTTTGGTGTAAAAGAAACGGGCAATAGCAAGGGCGTTGTTAGTTGATGACTTAACTGCTTCTTTAATATGTGTAGCCCAGCTGTTAGTATAATTGAAATAGATGCCCAGGTATCTATGGCTTTTGATTTGTTCAATTTTTTTCCCCTGTATAACCCACTTAATGGGCTTCCAACTTTTCTCGAACACAATGATTTTGGATTTATCGAAGTTCAGGGACAACTTGTTCTTATTGCAATAAGCAAGAGCTTGTGCAAGCATCCTTTTCATCCCCATTTCTGAGAGCGAGAGCAGGACAGCATCGTCCGCATACAAAAGTAACGGGACATGCCTCTCACCCAGTTTAGGGCAATGGCCATCAATACTCCTCATGAAGGGGTCTAAATCATTTAAGAAGAGGTTAAACAGGGTTGGCGCAAGAATGCAGCCCTGCTTAACTCCCACGTTAATGGGGATCTTGGCTGTTAGGTCCCCCTTCTTAGAATATCTAATCTGACAGGTGTTTCCAGAATGCAGATTTTTAATCAAGATCAGTAGTCGCTTGTCTATTCCCATGTCACTAAAAAAACTGTGAGCTAGCTCACACTAACTCAGCTTAGAGGGAACACTGGCTACTGCATCAATTAGTCTGCTCTGGAGCCGTCTCTTCCCGAGCTAAGGTAAAAACGTGTGAGCCGGAGGCTAAAGAACTGTGAGCTAGCTCACACTGACTCAGCTTAGAGGGAACACTGGCTGCTGCATCAATTTGCTTGCCCTGGAGCCATCCTTCCTGAGCTAAGGCAAAAATGTGTGAGCCGGAGGCTAAAGAACTGTGAGCTAGCTCACACTAACTCAGCTTAGAGGGAACACTGGCTGCTGCATCAATTAGTTTGCTCTGGAGCCATCCTTCCTGAGCTCAGGCAAAAATGTGTGAGCTGGAGGCTAAAGAATTGTTAGCTGGCTCACACTCACTCAGCTTAGAAGGAACACTGCCAAGGACTGATGCAACCCTCCCTCTCATGACCTGCCTAAGTTCTCCTGACGCCTCTCCACACCAGCTGTTATCAGCCCCACTAAGGGGAAAACATAGTCCGCATCTGGCCTCTCACGCCAGAGTGAAGCACCAGAGGCATGCGTGCATGCGCAAGATGCCACCCAGTTAGTGTCTCTTTCCCCCTACCAGGGCGTCAGGGGGAGCAGCGACTTGCCACTCTCCGATCTCCAACATCACATGTGTTTCAGAAACATGAAGAAGGACGTATGAAATTAAAGATGCCCAGAGTGGAACCCCAAAAGCGCATAAAGGGTGTCGGGGAGACCCCGAAGACATCGTAGGAACGAATGGGCAGCCATTTCCATAGTTCACTGTGTTTAATATTTCAAAGATCATGTTTTGGACACCCTCACCCAAGAGCCCTAAGTTCAGGAAGCTCCCCCCCGCCCCGCAACATCACATGCACATACACAGACATAGACACACACACACAGCCAATTCAAACACCCACGGTGCAAAATGCAGCTTTCGTTCAGCTTGCTTCTCTTTTGTTAAAAGCAGCTTTCTTGCCCTCTTACGGTTTCATAATGACATGCTTGGAACTTTCTGCTGGACAGGCCGGTCCTGGGAGGAGAACCCAGAAAGAAGCTCTAAGCTGAATCAGCGTGAGCCAGCTCGCCGTTTTTTAGCCTCCGGCTCACACGTTTTTGCCTTCGCTCAGGAAGGAGGGCTCCGGAGCAAACAGATTTATGTGGCAGCCCAATCGCTGGCTCACAACTCTCATGCCAGGAGCTCACAAAGTAGAATCTTTGCTCACAAGACTCCACAGCTTAGAGGCAGCATTGCCTTCAAGGTAGGCAGGGCTGAGAGAGCTCTGACAGAAATTGCTCTTTTTCAAGAACAGCTGTACCAGAACTATGCCTTGCCCAAGGTCATCCAGCAGGTGCAAGTGGAGGATTGGGGAATCAAACCCAGTTCTCCCAGATTAGAGTCAGCACACTCAACCACTACACGAAACTGAGAGAACTTCTCCCAGATGGCTTTTGTTCTGCATTCTGACTGCAGTCTTCCACAGTAGAAAAGAGCACAAAAGTCCAGTAGAAAACAGTAGAAAAGAGCAAGAGCGCCTTAAAGACTAACAAAATTTGTGGCAGGGGAGGAGCTTCCATGAGTCACGGCTCACTTCTGAAGAAGTGAGCCGTGACTCACGGAAGCTCCTCCCCTGCCACAAATTTTATTTGTCCTTAAGGCGCTGCTGGACACTTGCTGTTATCTGCTGCACACAGACAAACGAACACGGCCACCCATCTTGATCTACCTACATTCTTGAATGTTCTTGCTAAACAGCCAGACATGAAGACTGAGCCAGTTGGGGCTGTGAATTCTAGAGAGCTGGCGTAAAAGAGGTAGCTGCTGAGGAAAGAAGCTTCAGGAGAGAACCGGTGTCCCCTCTAAGCTGAGTCAGTGTGTGCTAGCTCACAGTTTTCTAGCCTCCAGCTCACACATTTTTGTCTCCGCTCAGGCAAGATGGCTCCGGAGCAAACTGATTTATGCGGCAGCCCAATCGTTTGCTCACAACTCTCATGCCAGGAGCTCACCAAGTAGAATCTTTGCTCACAAGACCCCACAGCTTAGAGGGAGCATTGCTCAGGACTAAACTCCAGGCTAGGAAATCCCTGGCGGTTTGGGGGGCAGAGCCTGCAGAGGGCAAGGGGGGGCCTTAGCTGGGTTTGATGCCATCAGGTCCACCCTGCAAAGCAGCCATTTCCTCCAGGGGGGGGGTCTGATCTCCGTCAACTGGGGGCAAGTTGTAATACTGGGAGATCCACCTCTGGAGACTGGCATCCTAGACTTATTCCCCAGGGAAGGGTGCATATTGTCAGCGCGGAGATTTCAGAAGCCCCGGGGTGGGCTGCAGAGGATTCCCGGCACTGAAAGGGGAGGGGGGGTGCTTCGGGGGGCGCCCGGCCCCCTCCCCCTAACTAGCAAAACCAGAATAAATTATGTAAACAGAAAGTAGGTAAATATGCAATCTCTAGCAAGGGAGGAAAACCCGGATTGCACCCGGCTGCTTTTAATAAGCACATCCGGAGTTTTGGCAGCCCTGGCTTTAACAGATTCCACTCAGGCAGGGTTGCCAGCTCTGGGTTGGGATATCCCTGGAGACTTTGGGGGTGGAGCCTGGGGAGGGCGGGGTTTGGGGAGGGGAGGGGCCTCGGCATGGTCCAAGGCCAGAGAGTCCACCCTTCAAAGCAGCCATTTTCTCCGGGGAAACTGATCCCCGTCACCTGTTTTCCCAGGAGATCTCTTGTCACCACCTGGAGGTTGTGGAAACTCGAGCCGCACTGTTAGAAGAGTCAAACAAGTGTTCTATATGTTCCATCTTATAAAATGCATTGTGTATTAGTCATAATATTCTAAAACAGGTATATATTCATCACATGCAATATCAACCATAATAATCAGTTTGTACAATCTAATAGCTACCAGTCAATTTACATCCTTTTAACACAATCAACCCCAATGGGAGTTCCTAGAATTGTACACCCGCTTCTCCTTGCTTGAAAGGGGGAAATTTCCTTTTGTGGTTACACTGAAGTTTAAATTGATGTTTGTTGCTGGTCCTACAAAAGGCCCATTAAGCAGCTGACAATCATAGACGGAGCGCTCCTGTCTTTCTCAGGGGCGTTTTAGAATATTATGAATAACACAATGCACTTTATAAGATGGAACGTATAAAACACTTTAACTTATAAATAAGGTTTTTGCAGTGTATATATTTGTTGTTTGACCACCTGGAGGTTGGCAAACCTAGGCCTGGAGGCACTTTGAGCTGGAACTCCAAGCGGGGAGGACTTTTCATTCAGCACAGAGAGGAGGTTCTGCAAACAGAAAAATGGAGTGGGCTGGAGGGGGGACGGACCCTGGAGCCCAGCTGAGCAGGTTAATGGTCGGGCAGGAAACTGTTCAGAGTCAAATTGTCCATGTCCGTCTCCGACCCGTTCTCGGCCAGCGTCTTCACCCTTTTGGCCCGGGGGGCCCTCCCTCCGGAGGCCTCCGCCTCTTCAGCGGCTAGCAGGGAGGAGATGCACACCATCTCCGTGTGGTTGTGCCGGTGCAGCTTGTAGGCCCGTTTCTGCCGCAAGAGCAGGGCGATGAGGACAAAGGTGGCAATGATGAAGATGGCGGCCACGAGGGCCAGGAGGGAAATGGCCAGCAGGCACTGCCCCACCATCTTGTCGGGCCCTGGGGGGGCCTCCCTGGTGGGAGGTCTCGCCCGGGCAGTGGAGGATGGCTTGGAACTGGCCGTGGGGGGCGAGAGAGAAGAGTTGGCGCCTCCGACTGCTTTCACGCCGGACTTTGAGGCAGGCCCCGAGGTTGCGACAGGAGTCGCTGAGGTGGCCACAAAAGCCTGAGACGGTGCCGTGGAGGCGCGGGGCCGTGTGGTATCGGTGGCGTGAGAAGGACGGCGGCCCCCTTCAGCGCCTTCGGTCTCAGTGAAGTCTTCGCTGAGGCCGGTGGTGGTGGTCATTTGACCACGAAGCGGCCCTTTGTCCCTCACGGTGCTAAGGCGGACGACGGCAGCCTCCGTGGACGTCTCTGCGAGGGAGCGGGACGTTGCCGTGGCCTTGGCGGAAGAGCTGTTTCCAGCCAGCCCCGTCTGAGAGGTCACGTTTTCGTCCAGCAGTTCAGTTGTGGGCTCCACGGAAGGGCGATCAGTTTCATCGTCTAGCAAAGTAATGGCTTTCAGAGAGCTTTCGGTGGAAGGCACAACGTCCCTCTTTCTCCGCGGTAATGGAGTGGAGTCGTGGCTGGCCTCTCCCGCCATCTTCCACTCCCACCGTCCGGCGGCAAGAAGCGGAGACTCGGCGTGGAGGCTAGGGAAACTGTAACCGCCGGCGACCAGGAGACTGGAAAGAACCAGGAGGGAGTGTTCGATGACGGACGCCATGAGACCTGAAGCGGGTGGGGGAGAGAGACAGACATGAGCATGTGTTCTCGCACCACAGTCACTCTCCTCAGCTCAAAAACGGCCACCACAGAAGAGCTTTGTTCTGAGAGCAGGACTAGTTCTCTGGCCCAGCCACCCAAAGAACAGCTTGCGCTGGCACAATAAGGAAGTGATTGGCCTTCCCCTCCTGGGCCTGCCCTGCGTCTGCTTTGCCAACTCCGGGTCGAGAAATTCCTAGAGATTTGGGGGGGGGCACTAGGTGGAGTGGGGTTAGGGGGAGGAGAGGGGCCTCAGTGGGAGGAGGAGGAGGAAGAAGAGGAGGAGGAGGAGGAGGAGGAAGAAGAAGAAGAAGAGGAGGAGGAGGAAAGAAGAAGAGGAGGAGGAGGAGGAGGAAGAGGAGGAGGAGGAGGAGCTGAGCTCTGAGCAGGAGCAGGAGAGAGAGCTGTGAGAGAGGTGAGTGGGTTTCTTTTACTTGCTTTCAGCTGATAGAATTCTGCTAAGGATATTTTGTGGGAAAACTGTGTTTAGCAGTGTGTGGAAGCACTTAGAGTTCTTGCAGAGTCCTGGCTGATTGAGTGTGGGAGAGGAACGGGCATTGTTTGACTGGGATTGCCTGTAATTGAGAGGAAGTGGAAGGGGCATTGTTTTGCCTGTGATTGAGTGCCTGGGTGAATTTGAATTTGAATAGCTGCTGCCTGACCTCTGCTGGGGGAGGCCTCTATTTAAGGAAGCACCTTGCCAGAGGCACGAGCTAAAGGGCTCTTTGCCTGTGGCTCTTAGACTAGGGACT